CAATTGACTCAGGTGGCTCAGATACAGCAGCGTGAAAGAACATTTGATCAGACTGTTTTAGCCGCCAGGGTAGTAGAGCATGCTCCAACTGAACAGCAAAATGTCATAAAGAAAAAGAAAAAAGAAAAAACAAAGGAAAAGGGAAAAAATAAAGAAAAAGTTATAAGGAGAGAAATTGAATTTAGTTCTTTCGTAGTAGCAGAGAGTAGTAATGCCGCGAAAGATTTCACAGAGAAGGCAGAAGATGATTAATAATTGTAATGGAATCTTTACTCCCTGTTACCTGTAATATATTATAATTGAATCGTACTCGGTTTCTTTAGACGTAGTAATCAATTATATTAACTTTATAGTAAATTTTTAATATAAGGTTATGCTTTAATATTTAAATGCCATATTAAACGAATTTATATGTAGATTAAGTACTGTAGGTTACAAAATTGAACCTTTTGTTTTTAATCAAAATATTATTTAAACCTATGTCTTATAGTTAAAATAGGTTGATTGTCTTGACTCAGAATCAGTAAAGATATTTTGACACATGAAATGCTATAACCACTTTATAGATTGCTATAAAAGTTTTAAAAAAATTATTAGTAAGTTCAAAATAGGGAATTTTAATATTTAATTTTAAATACCAATAAAAGTTGAAACTTTATTAAGATCAAAAAAAATACTTTTATATATGTTGGCTTCATATAATGCAAAAATGAATAAATAAATAAATAAATAAATAATATAAATACATATATCTTTATTAGACTTAATCCCGAAAAATTCTTTTTCATTTATTTCATTTTTTAAAATTTTCTTTTGGAAAATATTTTTTTAATATGGAAACATTTTTAAAAAACATAAAACACAATAAAGAAAAATTTCTTTAATTAATAGGTTTTTTTTTTTAAAAAAAAAAAACTGTAATTAGACTAGTGTTATTTTATTTATTAAATTATAAAACTATCACAAGTATGAGAATATATACAAAGTATAAATTTTCTCAATCTAGTTTATCTATTAATAACAAAAGCCTTTGATATAATTTATAAAAATATTATGTTGTTTTTCTAATAAATAAGATTTAGATTTAAACTTCCAATAGAATCAAAACCTGCAAATCAGCTCTATAATCATAATTATAAATTCAAATTGTATTAACTCTCTCTTTGCAAAAACTATATAAGAAAAAAGAAATAAAAAAAAATTTTAGTAAAAAAAAAAACAACACAAATATATATATATATATAAATATTAAAAGAAAAAAAAAACTATTATTTATTTTAACTATTATTGAAAAGATTATCTCAATAAATCAAAACCAAGTTCCTTATAATTATTATTATACTTACTTTTTATTACCTGTAATTAGTTAGACTATTTAATTTCTATTGAAATAACAATAACCAAAAATATTTAAAAATACTTTCAGAAAATATTTCTTAAAACTTTATACTCAAAAATTTTTAACTAAAAGAAAATTGATTTTTTATTATTAAATTTTTTTTCAAGTCATATCTTTTAAAATTATTGTTTTATTTAATTAATAAATAGTTTTAAATATTTTTTTTAACAATTTTTGAGATAAATATTATTACTTTAATTTGTTGCCAAATTAGAATAAAACTTGAATCTTGTATTTACTTCTTATCTCTAGAAAAAATAAAAAAAAAAACAAATTTAACAGATTTAATCTTCAATGATAATAAAGAATTTTTGATACTTGTTCAATATTTAGATTTATTGAAATTTGAAATTTTCACATTAAAGATTTTTTATATTTAAGTTTTTCAAAATTATAAAAAAAATTTAAATAATAAATAAGTTTTAAAAAAACTAAAAAAATTTGATAGTATTGTTATTACTTATGAAAAAAAACAAATTATATATATGAATTATATATAAAATTCTTAAAAAATCTGATAAAACTTTATGATATCTCAAATGTGCTCTTATATCTTCTGAACTATACATATGATATAAATTATTTTGCTGTTAACTCAATTGCCAAAATCCTCAAAAATAATTGTATTTGACTCAATTATTTTATATATTTTTAATAGTGACTCAATTAATTGTATCAAATAATTGCATCAAATTGTATCAAGAATCTATTTATTTTTATTACATGTATAATCTGAACAATAAATTTTTTATTGTAAATAAAAAAACTAAAAATATTATAGGTAATATCCATCTAGATGATTGCAATTATATTTCTAAATTTTGATATTTAAAAATATAATTAATGAAATAATAATAGATTTCTTTAATATTGATCTTAACAAATGCTTGATTATAAAGATTATATAAGTAATAGGCCAATATTACAAATATAATTTTAGTAATTCTTCTTATTAATCCAATTAATTCATCAAAGATTTATAGAAAATTTTAGTTATTTTACTAATAATAACAATTTATTATATATTATCTCAAATATTGCTTTTATATATTCTTAAAAATATCATAAATGTGTTTAGAATTTGATTAGAGAACTTCAATCACTTTTCAATATTATAAATAGTTATTTTAATAACAAATATTTAGTATTATATACTAAAATAGAAAACTTAATCTAGATTCTAATACCCTTAAATCTTTTAAAATCTTTTTCACTATTAATATTAACTTTAATAGTATTTGTTAGTTTATCAATATTTGAAAAACCACCTGAATACATTCTATATTATATGTCCTCTTAAAGAATTTAAGGATAGAATTTAGTATTCTTTAAACTAAAATTAACAATTATAGTGAAACAAGGACAGGTAATCACTTTTTAATTATACCTTTTAATTCAAATATATCTTCCATTAATATTATACTAGTCGAAATTTGATTATTCGGCATGTTGAATTATTGTCGAATTTTTAAATTTTTTATAATTAAATTTAAGCCAAATTTATGCTGTTTGGTGCCACTTGGCATAAAAATCAATATAGATATTCATTAAACATTCGTTAATAATTCGACTATAACATTATAGCATTCGACAATGTAAAT